CAAAGGATGCATGAGAGGCAACCATACACTGATATTTCTCTCCCTCTCTCCTTCCCTTCCCCTCTAAAAATAAATAAATAAAATCTTTAAAAAAAAGAACCTGTAAATTGTCATTTTGGTGAGATTTTCCTCCAGGCCTACCAGTCGGTGGCAATTTTCTACCATATAATGTCTCGATTTCTTGTTACCCTAATTGTAATTATTTCACGAGCTCAGTCCTTTAGTTTAGAGAAGTTTTTGATCACTTTTTATTGGTTTAAAAAATTATCCCTCTTTATTCTACCAGCTAAAAGACCTCTCTGTTGTAGGGAAAAGGCTATAGGAGGGATGGGTTAGTTGTTGTTATAATTTATCTTTACTTCACTTGACTTTTTGTCCCCTGAACAAGATACGGTCAAAGTTTGATGACGATAAAAGGAGGGGAAAGAGAAGGAGAAGGGAAGAGGGGGCTGCAGGAGGGGCCGGGAGGAAGGGTGTCCTCCCGGTGGCTTTGTACAACCCACAGGTGTGGGCTGTCGTCAGAAATTAGACTTGAAGCTCTACTGTGTTCAACTGCTAGTCTTATTACCTGACCCAGGTATATAATTATATTTCCCTTTAGCCAACACGGAGATTATGCCTACTTCACAGGGTTATTGGAGGTGAGAGTGCTTAAAGAGGAAATGCATGTGGAAAGCTTTCTGAAATACAAAGTTCTACAAGAACATAAGGTATTTAAGGTCGTTTAGATGTGTAGGCAGAAAGAAAAATCTAAGAGTGGAAGGAACACTGTGTTTCACAGATCAAAATAAAACACTGAGGTCTTGAATTAGGTGCGCCTATTCCAATCCCTCAGGCTTCTATTCAGCAGTCCCCAGTGGGATAGACCATGTGTTCTTAAGGCACATACCCAGGCCTACCTGAGTCAGGGTAAGAGCTTTTAGTTAGGAGCATCTCTGGAGGCTTCAGATGTTTTTAAAAGGCTAAAGTTTCTCTAAGCTCCCACCGCTAGCTAGCCCAGGTGAAGAGAGAAACAGCCAGAAGAGAGGCTAACATGTGACTAAGTAAAAGGCAGGAGACTAATCCCAGGGATCAGAAAGGTGCAGCTGGAACAGGGACCGCTTTGGTGTGACTGTAAAGAAGGCAGGATACACCCTTCACCCAAGAGCTCAGGTTAAATTAAAGTAAGATAACGCAGTAAGATAACCACAGAAAGATAACCACAGAAAACGCAGGTGTGGATGCAAATAGGTTGGCTGTACTGCAGAGATGTAGAAAGAAAGTGGTAGGCAGGACATGTGGAAAGATTTTAATTCCTGTCTTGGAACATTTCTCCTTTTCCTCATAACTTATAGCAACATCTAATCCATCCCTCCTGCAGAGTTTTGGCTGCAAAAGGAAGCTCTTGTAGCTTGGAGAGTGGGGTGAGGCAACTTTTGAAAATGATAAATAGTGATTGAAAACTCTAACCCAAAGGTAGTCTTGTTCACTCTCCTTGCAGGACTGAGTTTGTAAAATAATTACAATTAAGATATCAAGAGATTAAGATATTAGCTGGTACAAAACTGCAACCAACACATTGGCCTAGAAGAAAATATCCGTCTTCTTCCCAGCATCAAGTAATGTTAAATCTAAATCAGCCCGGGCATGTGGTTTTCAATCCAGTGCATAAATATCTCTCAAGGAAGAAATTCCATACATTCCCCCTGTAACTAACCAATCCTCAGAATCAGCAAGTTCTTTTCAATGTGACCTAAATCCTTGTCACTGATATTTAAACTCATTTCCTCATATTCCACCCTCAAGGGAGATAAGGAACAGCTGCCTGTTCCTCTTTGTAATTATCCTCTGTGGGCACTATTTGCAAACAGTCTCCTTTGGGCTAAATAATCGGGATTCCTCTCACCTTCCCTTAAAATTCTTCTGTCTGTGGTTTCCCCGGAGAAGCCTCTCCAGGTCCTTCACATCTTTCTTAAATGAAGTTTTCCCAGGACCTGCCTTGCTGAGAGACTTAGAGATAAGGACCCAGTGGTGAAGTAGACGCCACTGAGGTGGCGGGAAATCAGACCTGGGCAACTCCATGCCAAGCTAAAGAAATAAAACATTACCATATACAAATATATGTATATTTCCTTTTGTTTCTAAAAGCATCTCTGGCAATATCAGGCGTGGCCACAAAGCTGAGCAGAATTAAGCTTGGTCTTAACACACCCTCCTTTCTGAGTATCCTGTGTGCCAGATGCCTCTTCTCTGTACTCACTCTCCCTCTTCCCCAAATCTCTCTTCGTCAGTGTGGTTTGAGGTTTTAGGAGCAAAACGTGAAGACTGAACACATTTCAGATGGCCGTGTTTGGTTTTATGAGCAAGAAGCTTTCCTTAAACTCCTTAACATTCACAAAGTGGGCCGCTCAGCTTGCCCCTGCAGCCCTCCCTGCCCACCTTCTCCAGTCCGCCTCAGAAAACCCGGGTGGGGGTGGGAGTGGGGGTTGGTTTGTCTGTTTGCAGAAGCATCTGCACACTAAACTTTTCTCATAGCAACTTTTTCTATAGCACCACTTCCATGTGACAACAAAAAACCCTTATTTCTCAAAAGGTACACGTTTTTAACAACTCGGTTATGAGAAATGGCCTGTCTTACATGTGAAAATAGCCATAGAGGTAGAAGGGACAGTCTAAAGAAGGAATACATTTTCAACATTTCCCAGCAGATTCACTGACAAAGATTTTCCTTGGCACATTGTTGGCTCAAATCAATGGATTATGAGGTTAAGTTGACTTATCCGCCTTAATAAAATGTATCCTGCAATCTAGAGTATAAGGGACTTTTTTGTTTTATTTTGTGTGGGGTTTCATTTGGGACAGTTTTGCATCAGCAGGACAGGAGTTTCCAAAACTTAGGAAGTTGAAAGACCTTTGTAATGGGCACTGATTAAAATAAACTGACATGGCAACAAATTATATTTGGCAAATAGACATCAGAAAGCAAATATTCAGACTTCCTGGGCAGGGAGTAGTACTGGCACTTTTCCTGAATGTGAATAATCAAGCACATGTCAAACTCTGGACAAGACAAACTTATTCCCTGGCAACAGATGAGCCAAGGCCACCTCGCTTGACCTGCTCTCGGGCTGAACAAACGAAGCCCAGGTGAGCCAAGAAGTGTGGTTGGGGTGTTGACTTACCTCCTGCTTTTCTGATACAGTATATCCTTTATTTGAATGGGGAAAAATATGTTTAAAACATCCTTCACACACAACCACATCATGTGGTCCTCTAATTAATAACATGCGGAGGCAGCTGGGTGTGGATGATGAACATGTGGATTGGGAGGGCGCTGCAGTTTTAAAGTGTATCATGAATTGTTTGGGTCTCTGGAGGTTTGGGGTTTTTTTGTTTGTTTGGTTGGTTGGTTTTGGGGGGGGCTGGACATCAGAATAGCTAAGAGATTTGATTTTTTTCTAGAGATAAAATTCTCACTGTGGAAGACATGAGTTTCTGGCAGAAAGTTGCTGTCGCTGAGGCAGACCTCCCCACCTTTAATTGTGTGCCCACAGGACAGGTAGAGGGCAGTGAGGGAAGGTTCCAAAATATAGACTGCCAAGAAGAGAAGAGTGAAAAGACAGTGTTTCTCTGCTTCTACGGAATATTGACCTCTTGTCTCCTCTCCATCCCAGAAGAAAATGTAATTAGAGGAAATACAGCAAGAGCCAAACATACAACAAGCATATCAATGCCCTGAGGTCAATGCACTTGTGTGTGTTGTCACTGTGTGGGTCCCAACATAGGTGATGGGGAAGCCATAACCAGACCCAGGGCCACTATGAGCCAGTTGTACCTTTTGCAGAACTGCTTTGTTGTTTGGCAGAGGCTTTTGAGGGGCCCCTGGGAGGCAATGGAAGTACCAAGCTAAGTTCCTGTACTTGGAGGGCAGGGCCTTTGCTCATGTGTTTTCAACTGATAGCCATGTACTTTCAGTGGGACAGGAAAGAGGAGGCTCATTCATAAACAGAACTGGCCCTCTGGGGCTTCCCACATTGGAGGGGGCTGAGTGGATGCTGCTGGCCAGTGCTTTATGAAGTTTGTGCTCTTGACTTTCAGAGAAAATGCATTGTTTGTCATTGGAGAGCCTTGATCACTTTTCTCCTCCTAGAGCCATTTTCGAGGGCTGCCCTGAGGCCAGTTTCACTGGAGGAATAACTTAACTCTAGAGGCTTTTGCGGTGCGAAATGCAAACCATGTGTGTGACCCAGGTTCCTTCCTCTCCAAAGCGCTGCACATTTGGCACAAGGATGGGTTTAGCTCAAATGCAGTGGGATATGTAATGAAAAGTGGGATGTTTACTGTGTTAGAAGGTACTTGCAGAGCACCTCACACTGAGCCTCAGGTTGGAGGGCAGTGTTCCCTGGCAACCACAGTCCCATGTAGGAATAGCTAAACCCCTTCCCCCAAAGATTTTTCCTACAAGCTGGCTCCCCTGCTTCTTATTCTTAGGTTGTATGCTTGTGGCACATGACTCTCTCTGCTTTTGCTAATGAGAAAGCTAGGCTTCAACCACCCCCATTTTGAACAGTGCATTAAGAAAAAGGTCCCCAAACTGCCAGCAGTTTCTTATCTCAGTTTAAAGGTCTCACCTGCCAAACCCTGCAATGAGAGGAGAGGGACAGCGCTTCCTGAAGACAGGTGATGGTCACTCAGATCACACAGTATAGGTGGTGTTGGTTTCTTCCAAGGTCGTAGACACTGAAATCCTGGGCATTCGTCCTTCAACTGTCAGGGTTGTCAATCACTGTAACTATGTGTTGGTCAGCTAGAAAATAGTTCTTGTTTTCCTATGCAAGAGAGTTTAAAAACAGCAAAACACCAACAAATGGAACAACTTTATGGTGTAAGGCCTCTGGTCTAGTCTCTTCTGCCTGTGATTGAGGACATCAGTTCTCAATAAAATGAATGAGCCATACAGCTTTTTGGGAACACACACACATAACATGTCTTTCTTTGCCTCTCTTCTTTGTCATCCGCAGGGGAGACTGCAGGAAGGCAGCAGGTCCCCACCTCCCCGCCGGCCTCAGAGAACAGCAGCGCAGCTCACAGCATCGGCAGCACACAGAGCACGCCCTGCTCCAGCAGCAGCACGGCCTAGCCCAGCGGCCACTGCCAAGGGCAGGGCCTGACAGCACGTGTGTCCAGACTTCAGAAAGGCTTGATTGTGGTTCCTTTGTAAAGAGAGAGTGAATTGCAATGGAAACATCACCTGTTATATTCACCCCCCACCCAGGGCTAATCTAAATGTGACCCCTGGGCTTCCATGTGAGAGAGCTAAGGCGGTGGCCTTCTCCACCAGCCCCTCACAGGTTTGGGGGTTTTCAATGTGAAACACATGCCAGTTTTTAAAATGCTGCTTTGTCCAGGTAAGAACATCTACAGTTTGGGCCCCTGAGTTTTCTCCAGACTCAAAGAGTTGGTAAAAGGAGGATAGCCGGATAGTAAGTAGAACAAGTGAAATGTGGCCAAAGATTCTTCTATAACTGAACCAAGAGGTAAAACAAAAGAAATGCTTCAAGACTTTCTAAGTGCATTCCTCCTTGTCTTGTTTGCACCTCTAGACGCACACTTCTCACCTTGCTGCCACGCCCCGTCATGGCCTTGCGTTCCCCACAGGCGCTGCCCTCAGGGACTGTGCCCTGACACACATCACGGCAACATTCCCTCCCGTGCCCTGGGCCAAAACCAGTGCTGGGCACAGTGACCATTTCCCCTCTTCCTGCACCGGCGCACCGACGGCAGAAATGTCTTAATGCAAATTTCTTATTTCTGGATAGGCATGAAGAAATTGAAAATGGCCAAAATCTGGGGCTGCAGATGTGTGCCCATTTATCGCATTGTGTTCTGATAAATTAATGTATAAATTAGGGCACAATTTAGTTGTCCAATGAAGGAGGAATTTGCTCAGTGATATATATGCCAGCATGTAATATGTCATCTGGCTCATTGGTTTTCTCAGTTGAAGAAGAAGAAGAAAATTATTCCTTTTTTAAAAATGTCCTATGCCTTTAGAATTGAAGCTATTCTTAAACATGGTTGGGAGAATTAGTGTTTCCACTCAAAACATGTCAACCTTTGTGAGACCGTTTTGTAAAAACCAAGCTTTTGCAAGATGCAAATGCACGGCAGATCCTGTTAGGTTGCAGCTGGTTACACGAACAGGTTCCCCAATTCTGCCAGGGAAGTGCTGAGATAGGGAAAAGGGCACTTGTTTGGATGGCTTTAGTTCTCTTGCCTGCATACATCCCAAACTCAAAAAGGATTTAAGATGGAATAATATCATGCCACTTTGCAGCTAAAATAAGCTCAACTGATACCTCTATGTTAAAAAAGAATGCCAGAGGAAAATCTCCATGCCAAGTCATTTACTACTGAGGATAGCTTTATTGCAAATAAATACTATTCTTTCTCTAGATTCTCCCCAAATGACTCAAGTTTTTACAAATAAAACAAGCTAGATTCTACCCCCAAATATTCATAAGCAAACCTCACTGCCCTTAGAGTAAGGAAGTTGTGCCTGGTACAATGTGAATGCACCTTCAGTAGGAGATGCTGACACTCAAGGCCTAAGGGCAGTGTCTACAAGGCAAACAAGCAGGTTACCCAATGATAGAGTAATAATATTCTGATTGATTTGATAGGTGTAGACAGTCAATCAGGATAATTTCACTTGCCAACACAGGTGAGTTGAAGGCTAAGATTTCCAGGTTTTCTATGTTGATAATTTTGCATATTTCCACATACAGAGGAAGATCTGAGACTAGAGAATATTGTTCCTTTAGTTGGCTTTTTTTTAACATAAGGGTATCAGAGTGGAGGTCCTAGATTATGCTACCTGTGTTCGAAAATAATGCGCTTTGCCTAACCTTCAGCAGAATGTATTGTTTTAGCATATTCTATGTATAAAAAGGTTTAAAGATGTCTTCAAAGAAGACTAGAGTCTTTAAGTCACTTATAGCTATATTTTACTACAAACATTTGTGTATAAAGATATATTTAAGTGTTTTAGATTTAAAAAAAAAGTTACTCCATATGAAATGTTTAAGTCCATTTACTGTGAATTCTTTTAATCAGTTCTTTGCTTTCAAAAAAACCCTTTTTATCCTGTTAAAAATAAAACTAGCTACTAAGAGGTATTAAAAGATCCAGTTCTTAGATAGACAGATTTAAACATTTTGTAATATATTTAAATGTATATTTTTTGAGAAAGATGCTAATTACCAATGATGTTATAAGTAATTTAAAATTAATTTACAAATTTATACATACAAACCAAAATATTTTAAAAGAAAGAGAAGAAAAAAGACAACTTTTATTTGTTTGGGTCTGATTGCCAGAAGTTATTCAGGCCAAGAAATCCATGCTGATAAAACTCGATCCCATGTTAATTGGAGAGTGAATGTCACTAAGTATTTCTGAAATGTTTCTTGTAAAATGAGCATTAAAAAAATAGTGTTTTCTCTCTGACTTCCTGTTAGAGCATTTCCAATTGCTTCAGACTTCACAGTTTTAATACAGAATACAAGTTCAACTTTATAACACGTTCTGCAAGCTTCTGTAAAACTCTTGTTGTATTCCAGTTAAACTCTCCTCCTCTCTGCTGTTTTTTGTAACTTCTGCAGTCTGCACCCTTAATTTGCAGAGGCTGTCTTGTTTTGTTTGGTTTCATGCTAAAAGCTCTTGTTGAAATGCTCTAAACTCCAAGGCAGATTGTCTCTGTAACATCCTAGAGCTTTTCACCATGTGGTGTTTATCAGCTATTACTCTGTATTTTAAAAGTCAGAAATTCCTTCTGTCTAAGCTGTTTCTATAGCATTTTTCTCAGCCACCACCACAACAAAAAGATGGCCTTTTCCTTGCCTGTAATAAGATTGTAACCCCGTTTCCGGCGTGTGTTCTGTCGTGGGCCTGCTGGTGAGCCCGTGGTCTTTCTGTACTGTAACTACCTCATGGTCTGAGTGCTGACTGTACTGCTGGTTGTGTTAACAGAGCACATTATGTTGGATGAATTGTGTGTGTGATTTTTTTCTGTTTGTTTTAGCTGGGGGGTGTTCATGAAACTGACAGATGTTTTTCTGAAAAGGACTATTATCAGTTTTCAAATACAATACTTCTCTCTTCTGGTTTTTCCTGAATGAGCCTGATTTTGTTGCTGTTTTTCTTTTATCATCTATGAGGGTAAAAAGAGTACCCTTAAAATCCCTGTGGCCAGTTTGAACACCCCTATTGTATGTAGTCTTTTTCTCTGTTCAATGTGTTGGCAATTTTGTGAACATGCTTAGATGTATAGTTTTGATAACCACAGTTTTAAGTACTTTATTTGCGCATAATAAAAAGATATATATCAATTATTAATACACCTCTTGTTTGGTCATCATTAAATTCTACCCTCAGGCTGATATAATGCTTTTTCATTGTGTCTTTCTTCTAAATGCATCTTCTGATACAACGGAGTTAATGAGGAGTGGGGAGGGGAAGGCTGAGAGAATGCCATAAGCTCACTGGAACAGAGGGGAGGGATGGACAGACCAAAGGGAGAGGGCAGCAGGAGCTGTCACTCTTCTCAGAAAAATGGGCAGGAGACCTAGAAATGGGTGTCAGCTGTGGACTCCATTCCCGGGCTTCTGTTGATCTCCTAGAGGCAAGGAAAGAGAAATAATAAGTGCTTTGGATCCACTCTTATCCCTTTCAGATACTCAGTACTTCTTGTAGAATTCTCTGTCAGTATGGTGCCTCCCCCTTCCAAATGTCCAAGCCAAAGACGTGGGGGTCAGATTTGACTGCTCTTTGGCTCTCACACCCCCAAATTAACAAATCCAAGTTTGTTCTACCTTTGGAACATCTCCTCTCCAAACCACTGAGTTATTTCTATTCCTACTGCACTTACCCAGACTCCAAGGTCCCTTACCTCTTAAGCTGAATCACTGCAGCACTCTGACCAATTATTTTTCTGCACATACCATATGCATGTATAAAATAAATGCAAGCAATACAGATAGAGGTAGTGAAAAAAGCTCCGATAATCCTCGCACTTGGAGATGATTGGTGTATGTACACTGGGAACACAGTGTATGTGTTCCCAGACATTTTCTTATGTTCATATCAACATGTACATGTCACTATAATAAATGAAATCATACTATAACATTTGTGACTGGCTCTTTTCACATGGCACATCTACTGTGAGGCTTCATTAGATGAGTGCTGATCCTCACTATTTTACGAGACTTTCCTTAAATTGCCAGAGGAAAACATGGCAATTTTTCCTGTGGTTGGAGGTAAAATCAAACAAAGTTGTTTATGTTCTTTCCCACCCCCTTCTGTCACTTTCCTGGAAGAAATGATGTTAACCTTTTTTCTAACTCAAACATGTCAAAATGTGTTTACAATGAGAAATTTTTGTTTACTAAAATGGGATCACAAAATATTCACTCTGAAACTTGCCTTTTTCAGTTAACATGGACCTCCCTCTTGATTAATAAAGAAAGAATTAATTCATGCTTTCTCATGGCTATATAATATTTCAAACAATGAGGTTAGCAAGTTCACTAGTGATGGGCATTGAGTGGTGTTATTTCCAGGGTTTTGCCAAGATGCTCTGCCACAGTTAATATCCTTGAGTATCCATCCTTGCATCCTAGTGCCTGAAAGCAAAAAGAGGTGACAGTGACACAAAGGGACACTGACAAGTTCATCATCACAGGAGATTTTAACAGTGCTTTAAGTTGATAAAAAGAGTTGGACATGGAAAATTTGAATAATGCAATTAAGCTTGAACTAATGAGGATACATGGAATCCTATACCCCCAAAGTAGAGAATTTTGTACATATGGAATATTCATAAAAGTTGACCACTACTAGACTGTAATGGAATTCTCAGAAAATATTACAGAATTTAATCATTCTGATCAAGTTCTTCAACCATAATTCAAGTAGTTTCAAAATCAGAAATAGATAATTTAAGAATAATAATTTTGGAAATATTGAAACATTTCTAAATAATTCATTGTTTCAAAGAAGCACTCAATAGACATTAGAAAATACATAGAATTGAAAAGTAATAAAAATTCTAAACTCAAACAGGCAACAAAGAAACCTTTGATTTGTGAGAAATTTAGAGCTATCAAATGCTTATACTGGGAGGAAAAAGGTTGAAAATGAAAGTGTATCCAATGTAGCAGGTTGGAGGAAAAAATGCCAAAAACAATTTATTACTTTAAAAGCCTACTAGAGATAGACAAAAATTAAGTAAGAATAAACAAACACAAATTCATTAGGAATGAAAAGAGGACAAAACACATACTGCAGAGTTGTCAATAAACGAGATCATCATAAACAACTATTCTAACAAATGTGAAAGTGAACTGTGAGGGAGATGTGTGAGTCAGAGTCCTCTTGGGTGAACAGAGACCACACTGGGTATTTTAACAGAGAGAATAAGGTAAGGAACTGGTTAAGCAGGTGTTGGACGGTTGAAATAGTGAAAAGAGGACATGGAGGTAACAGAGGTAACAAGTGTAGCAAGAATTTGTCCCTCAGGTGGGATGGTCAGGACTCCAGGGTGGGAGCAGTTTGCTGAGCGCCAGTGCCAGGACCACCAGGAAGCCTGAGAGGGTAGACTGGGAACTGGGGAACAAAACCGTAGTAAAAGACACATTTCCTGGAGTCAATAATTTGCCAGCACCAATTCAAGAAGCAACAGAAAATCAAAAGTACAATTAACCATTAAGAAAATTGGTGGTTTAAATTTATAACAAAGCAGAAAACAAAGTTAAAAAATAAAAATAAAGAGACCTTGTGATGTGGGGGAGACAGAAGAAAAATGGCCCAACCCAGATGGTTTTACAACGTAAGTTCTATCAAGTAGTCAAAACATCGGTAATGCCTGCATCGTGGAGGTTCTTTTATTTGGGGGATGGCAGGTCAAAGGGAATTATTTTTAAATATTAAGCTCTATTTCCACGTTACTTTCTGTAAAGATTGTAGCAAATCACACTGCCACAGGCCTTCCCCTCAGCACTGGGCTGTTGAAACAGAACTTAGGTGCCCACCACCCCAAATCCAGTCACCTTCTGTCACCATATAGTTGGCCATGCAATGCCATATACAGATCACGTCCTAGGAAGGTACACCTGAAACCTATATAACCCAGTGAACCCGTGTCGCCCCAATAAATTTAAACAAAAAGAGAACTTGGACCCTGGACATTAGACTGCCTGCGTTTGAAACTCGGTTCTGCCATTTGCTAGGTGAGGTATTTCCTTAATTAAAAAATAATTTACTTCTTAGCATTGTCATGAATATTAAATGAGATAATTCCTATAAAGCGTTTAGGACATACTTATCATTTCATAAATATCGTCTACTATTATTACCAGCATTACATGTTTTAAGATTTGCCAATGTGGTGATTGAAAAATTATATCATTATTTGAATTTGTATTCTCCTCATTGCCAGTGAGTTTTAAATTATTATATAGTCATTGGTCTTTTCCAGGTCTTTCTGTACATTTCTATTTATTTGCTCATTTTTTAGTATTTTTTAATAGTTTCAACATTAGTGATATGGTATGTCACAAGTAATACATGTTAAATATTAATCCATGATGGTCTTTTAATTTATTCTGTTTATAATGGATATTACCAATATAAAATGTTTAATTTTATGTAGCTGAATGTTTATCTTTTCTTCTTGGCTTCTGTGTTTTCTATCTTGCTTAAGGTCTCTCTAGATATATACCAATACTTTTATTAATTGATTCATTTTTTAAAGGATTTTATTTATTTATCTTTAGAGGGGAAGGGAAGGAGAGGGAGAGAAATATCAATGTATGGTTGCCTCTCCTGCGTTCCCTGGTGGGAACTGGCCTGCAACCCAGGCATGTGCCCTGACTGGGAATCGAACCATGATCCTTTGGTTCGCAGGCTGGCGTTCAATCCACTGAGCTACGCCAGCCAGTGCAAATACTTTTATTAATTTATTTTTAAAATTTAAATCTTTACTCCATATTCTTTGTGACAGTATCAGGGTAGGGGGTCTATTTTTGTTATTTTTCAGGTGATTCTTCAATTCTGCCAGAAGCGTTTATTTAAAAGTTCGTCTATTTCCTACTGAAGTAAAATTTCAAAAATGGCGAGAGTGGTTTGGCCTTGACAGATATTAAAATTTATTATAAAAGTTTATAATACAAATAGTAAGGTAATAGTGCAGGGAGATTTAAATAGATTACTCAAACAGATAGAGCAACACATGACAACTAGTCATAATTTTCATTAGATTCGTAAAGGATTCTATGATATACACTGTCTAATTTTCATTGTAAAAATACGGATCTGACCTTTTCCTCTGTTATTTCAAAAAAATTAGAGAATAGTGGTCTGAGAAGCAAAACTTTGATTAACGTTAGGTCATCCCCCAACTTTTCCTGGTTCGACACAGCCGGGCTGTCGGGTAATGTTGCCGCCTCAGCCTCGGTGGACCTGGAGGACAGAGTGTCGAGCCAAAGAGATGCTTCTTAAGTCTCAGAGTTTGTCTTGCTAGGTTTTGGACCTGCTTGGAACATATCACCTCTTCCTTCTTTCCTATTTGTCCGTCTCGAAATTGGAATTGTGAGGGAGCAAAATAATTTTCTTCTTACCCTTCTGAGTTGTTGGCTGAGACATGCTTTAATAAAAGACATATTAACCAGAGCAAAACAGAGGTTTATTAACATGTATACCTCATCCATACATGGTAGGTGCACAGGGAAAAGTGAGCAGCTCCAGGAGGTGGCTTTTGAATTCAGGATTAAATACCCTAGTAATAGGGGGAGGAGGTGGGGAATGTAGGCCTTTTAAGAGAGAGCAACTGATTTTTACGAACGATGAACAGGCCCTTTGAAAAACAAATGGAAGATATGATCATTTGTGACAAAGTTTGGGTGTGGTGTCTATTTCTAGTCTTCTGTCCTGGAATGAGTCAATCCTCCTTGGTTGATAAAATTCCCAGGGGGAGTATTTATGACAATTAAGTTCCTTTTGGAAGGTCTGTCTTTAAGCAGATAAGGAGAGTTCAGAGAAAGCCTCTTCCTGAATTTGCTGTTTTTCAAATGCTTATGGCTTAAAATAATCAATACACCAAAGCATATTTTGGGGTAGTGTGTCCTGAACCCCTGCAGTCATACTTTGGGGTGGCATATTCTACCTTCAGAATGTCTATCTATTCCTCTCACCACTGTATTTTGGAAATGTAAGTTGTTTGGTTTCACAAGTCACAACAAGAGAGCAATTTTGCTTCAGGATGAATCATACCTACCTTAACTCTCACTCATATCTGTTTTAGATGATACTTAAATGAGAGTCTGGGCTTTAGAATT